CTTACCTCTAATTCTTTCAATTATAACCCTACCGTACACTTTTCCTGGTATACTCAGTAAGCTTATTCCTCTATAATTTTTACAGTCTCTTTTGTCCCCTTTCCCTTTATATAAAGGGACTATACATGCTCTCCGCCAATCCCTAGGTACCTTCCCCTCTTTCATACATTTATTGAACAAAAGTACCAACCACTCCAACACTATATCCCCCCCTGCTTTTAACATTTCTGTCATGATCCCATCAGTACCAGCTGCTTTACCCCCTTTCATTTTACGTAATGCCTCACGTACCTCCCCCACACTTACATTCTGCTCTTCTTCACTCCTAAAAGATGGTATACCTCCCTGACCAGTGCATGAAATTACTGCCTCTGTTTCTTCCTTAACATTTAAAAGTTCCTCAAAATATTCTCGCCATCTACCTAATACCTCCATCTCCCCATCTACTAACTCCCCTACTCTGTTTTTAACTGACAAATCCATATTTTCCCTTGGCTTTCTTAACTTGTTTAACTCACTCCAAAATTTTTTCTTATTTTCATTAAAATTTCTTGACAGTGCCTCTCCCACTCTATCATCTGCTCTCCTTTTGCACTCTCTCACCACTCTCTTTACCTTTCTTTTACTCTCCATATATTCTGCTCTTCTTATAACACTTCTGCTTTGTAAAAACCTCTCATAAGCTACCTTTTTCTCTTTTATCACACCCTTTACTTCATCATTCCACCAATCACTCCTCTTTCCTCCTGCACCCACCCTCCTATAACCACAAACTTCTGCCCCACATTCTAATACTGCATTTTTAAAACTATTCCAACCCTCTTCAACCCCCCCATTACTCATCTTTGCACTATCCCACCTTTCTGCCAATAGTCGCTTATATCTCGCCCGAACTTCCTCCTCCCTTAGTTTATACACTTTCACCTCCCTCTTACTTGTTGTTGCCACCTTCCTCTTTTCCCATCTACCTCTTACTCTAACTGTAGCTACAACTAAATAATGATCCGATATATCAGTTGCCCCCTCTATAAACATGTACATCCTGGAGCCTACCCATCAACCTTTTATCCACCAATACATAATCTAATAAACTACTTTCATTACGTGCTACATCATACCTTGTATATTTATTTATCCTCTTTTTCATAAAATATGTATTACTTATTACCAAATTTCTTTCTACACATAGCTCAATTAAAGGCTCCCCATTTACATTTACCCCTGGCACCCCAAATTTACCTACTACTCCCTCCATAACATTTTTACCCACTTTAGCATTGAAATCCCCAACCACCATTACTCTCACACTTGATTCAAAACTCCCCACGCATTCACTCAACATTTCCCAAAATCTCTCTCTCTCCTCTACACTTCTCTCTTCTCCAGGTGCATACACGCTTATTATAACCCACTTTTCACATCCAATCTTTATTTTACTCCACATAATCCTTGAATTAATACATTTATAGTCCCTCTTTTCCTGCCATAGCTTATCCTTTCAACATTATTGCTACCCCTTTTTTAGCTCAAACCTATTTGAAACCCCTGACCTAATCCCATTTTTTTTTTTTTCCTCTCCATTAAAAACTCCCCCCACCCCCTTCAGCTTTGTTTCACTTAAAGCCAGGACACCCAGTTTTCTTCTCATTCATAACATCCACAATCACCCTCTTTCTTACATCTCAAAACATCCACGCACATTCAGACTTCCCACTTTGACAATTTTCTCTTCTTATTCTTTTTAGAAAATCTTTACGGGAAAAGGGGTTACTACCCCATTTTTTCCCCGGGCATTTTAGTTGATTTTTCCCAAATTTCCATGGCTTACGGGGGAAAGTTTCCCCTTAAAACCCCACTTCCCCATGGAATAAAAAAAAAATTTAATAAGACCAAAAACCCTTTAAGAAAAAATCAAAGAAAACTAAAGATGAGTGTTAATGAATAAAGTGTATATGTAGGGGGTTGTATGTGACCTAAGTGTAAGTAAAGTAGAAGCCCTGCCTGTAATCTTGAAATTTTTTAAGAGCCCAGCAAAAGCCCATCACAACCCCTACCATCATGAAAAACAATTAACAGGCTTTCTTTTTAAAAACTCACTTGGCAGGCCCGGATCCCTTTCCCTGGGGGGTTGCGGGCTACCAACCCTACCTATATATATATATATAATTAAAAATATATATATATCCCACATTGGCCCCCCCCGGTTTTAACAAATTTTTTTTTCTTTCCATTATAGGGTTTCAGGTGCCAGAAACTGACCGAATTTTTTTCCCAAAAAGGGAAATATTGGGGAAGTAGTTTAAAGTCCTTTCCCCCAACCCCCAAACATACTTTTTAAAAAAAACCCTTAAACATAAATACACTTACATAATTAGTCGCATTTGGAGGGGATCGTTAAGCGGGGGTCCACTGTATATGTATATATATATATGCATGCTTGTACATGTATGTGCAATGTGACGTAAGTGTAAGAAGAAGTAGCAAGACATACCTGAAATCTTGCATGTCTATGAGACAGAAAAAAGATACCAGCAATCTTACCATCATGTAAAACAATTACAGATTTCCGTTTTACGCTCACTTGGGAGGACGGTAGTACCTCCCTGGGCGGTTGCTGTCTACCAACCTACTACCTAGGACTCAGTAAACTTATTCCTCTATAATTTTTACAATCTCTTTTGTCCCCCTTCCCTTTATATAAAGGGACTATACATGCTCTCTGCCAATCCCTAGGTACCTTCCCCTCTTTCATACATTTATTAAACAAAAATACCAACCACTCCAACACTATATCCCTCCCCTGCTTTTAACTTTTCCCAGTATATATATACTTATAAAACATACAGTAGTTTCTCCATGGAGAAGTGGATTAGAATTCTTCCTCCGTAAGCCATGCATGTCATAAGAGGCGACTAAAATGCCAGGAGCAAGGGGCTAGTAACCCTTTCTCCTGTACCCATTACTAAATTTAGAAGGAGAAACTTTCGTTTTTCCTTTTGGGCCACCTGCCTCGGTGGGATACGGCCAGTGCGTTGAAAGAGAAAGATATAGTAGTTTCTAGAAACAGGTTCAACGTGGTTCCTAGGGACACATAATAATAAAGTTTCATCTATAAATGCTTTGTTACACACTTACCAGCTCCTAAATTATCAGGAGAGTCAGGTTCCATGGGAACTAGTGCTGAGAAGTGACCTCGTGTGTATCCCAGAGCAATAGGTGACTTCCAGCAAAATGAATATTCCCAAAGCAGGGGAAGATACACACCTAAAAAGTACAGTATAAATAAATACCTACCGAGCATTATAACATAATAATAAATGAATTGTTATAAAGCTCAATAGCAATACTGTATTATGGACAATAAGAGATAAAAGTTATATGGAACACTATAATAACAGTGAGTCACTATGTAGGTTTTTCAAGTTAATGATTTACATGATAAAGCCCTTGCATGAGCAACCTCTTTTACTGTAGTGTTCCACACAGCTTTTATGTTTTATTACCCATCATGTCAGTACTATGTACCTTTCCAGTTACAATATTATATTAGTTGACTTTTGCTTTAATTAATTCCACTGTTAAGCTGAAATATTCTACAGCACTTGTATCTAGAACTTACCTTCAAATCTAGCAAAGCCTAGATCTTCTCCTCGAAAACTTTTGACACACTTGACACCATAAACAATGATTGGTCTGCGAAGAATGTGAGCTAAAACAAAAATGTGTAACTGCTCTAATGCAGCCCCAGGTTGAGAAGCCAGGCAGATTAACTCTGCCCACTCCTCCAGTACTTGACCTTCAGGAACATAGTAGTCTAACAGACGTGCCTGCCAACGCTCGTACTCTTTCCAGCGTGGATAGAATCTGAAAAAAACATGCCATTACTATAAAATTATTCTTAAACTTATAGTTCAACTTAATTTATAGTTGCTTTAAATGTAAAGAAATCTGATAAAAATAAAAACATATATGCACTAATGAAGACTATTAATTAATGTGAATTACAAACTGATAAATGCAATTACTGTTAGCAGTTTCAGCATGGTAAAATATAGTGGATTAATGTGATTTACTTGTTATGTGATCTTGTTAAAAAAATATTGCAGAAAAACTTGAGGCATGTGATGTAACTGTTAGCTACACATTTCAAAGTGATTAAAATGTCACTTAGGGAGTACTGTACACTTTATTTCAGATAACATTTGACCTTTCTATGGATGCACTTGAAGAATTTTTTTTTTAACACATTGGCTGTCTCCCACTGAGCCAGGGTGACCCGAAAAAGAAGAAACACTTTCATCGTCACTAACTCCTTAAGAGTGCAGGCACTGTACTTCCCACCTCCAGGACTCAAGACCAGCTAACCAGTATTTTTAAATCTATTCATAAATGTTGCTTGCTCACACTCCAACAGCATGTCAAGTCCTAAAACCATTTTCCTCCACTCGCTCCTATCTAACATGCTCATGCACACTTGCTGGAAGTCCAAGTTACTCTGAAACCTATATTAACAACTAAAACAGTCTGTATACAAAATCCCAGGTACCAACATACTAAGTAAGCTTCAGTGACAATCTTGTAAACATAATCTAAAATCTAATAGAGCATAATGAAAAATAATAATACGTACTCTCCAAAGACAATGAATCTTCACTTTCAACTACTGATAAAAAAGATACAAATGCAGTATAATAGGTAGTAACTTTAATATTTAATTCTGCCAATTCAGTGAAGCATTAGTTTCAAGGATGCTTCAAGAATGGAATCCTGGCACATAATAATCTCATACTAAGCCCAATGTAATCACTGAGATATGCTTCTTCACTAGATCAAATATGAACTAAAAAATAGCACCACAAAATGGGGGCACAATTACTGATGAGCCAACAGGCAACTACTGATACCCAGACTCTCTAATAATGTATCAATCAACAGTTTTATCAATGAATTGGGATACACTAAGAGAGAAAGCCACCTAAGCAGTTTTCCAAAGAACTTCCTCAATATAAGACAATACAATATACAGTAGGCTCTCTGATAAAGCTCTTCTAAATACACCTACCATCCAACTTACGACCTGCTCGACTTACGACCACTAGACTTATGACCGTGTTTTTTATGCCAAATTTCTGGGAAATAAACAACTATTTGTGTTGTGCACAGTGTTTATCCTAAACCTTACAGTATAAAATACAGTGCTAACAGCATAAAAAGTAAAACATGAAATACCAAAATAAAACAATAAAATAAAGTCATTACAAAAATGTTTTGCTGATATTCAGTAGTAAAGTTCGACTTACGACCATTTCGACTTACAACCGGTTTCTCGGAACCAAACTCGGTCGTAAGTTGGATGGTAGGTGTACATGTAGTGTGATTTTTGGTAAATGTGACTGAAAAAGTACATCCAAAATTTAATAGCACATGGGAAGGTGTGTGCTATTCTATCTTGGATGAACTTTTTCAGTTGAATTCACAAAAAAATCACACTATACAAAGGAGTACTATAAGAGTCTACTTTAACACATCACCTCTGTAATACAGTCAAGTATAACACAACTCTACAGCACAACTCTATAATACAAAATCTTTACGATGTAACACAGAACTCTGCAGAACACAATCATATTTTATTTTTTTATTATCTCACTGGCCGATTCCCACCAAGGCAGGGTGGCCCGAAAAAGAAAAACTTTCACCATCATTCACTCCATCACTGTCTTACCAGAAGGGTGTTGTACACTACAGTTTTTAAACTGCAACATTAACACCCCTCCTTCAGAGTGCAGGCACTGTACTTCCCATCTCCAGAACACAATGTCACCACATAATGAAACAAGTAACAGTTAAAAAAGGCTAATTTAGATCTATTAGCAAGAAACCTGAGTATAAGATAGGCCTAGTCTCTAAAGAATCTACAAACAAGATACAGAACAATACTTATCAATTCAATTGTAACTCCAAAGAAATCTACTGAAATATATTTAATGAAACAACAGGAGATATGAAAAAAAAAAAAACACTGAAAACTATCTCCCAAACATTAGAATCTAATAAACCATAATGAAAAGTAATAATACTCTCCAAAGTCAATGAACCTTCAATTTCAACTCTTCTTCTTTCTTTCAACAAACTGGTCGTATCACACTGAGGCAGGGTGGCCCCACAGGAAAAACAAAAGTTTCTCCTTTTAAATTTAATAATATATATATAAGAGAGGGGGGTTACTAGCCCCTTGCTCCCGGCATTTTAGTCACCTCTTACGACATGCGTGGCTTACAGAGGAAGAACTCTGTTCCACTTCCCCATGGAGATAAGAGAAAATAAACAAGAACAAGAACTAGTAAGAAAATAGAAGAAAACCCAGAGGGGTGTGTATAAATATGCTTGTACATGTATGTATAGTGTGACCTAAGTGTAAGTAGAAGTAGCAAGATGTACTGAAATCTTGCATGTTTACAAGACAGCAAAAATACACCAGCAATCCTACCATCATGTAAAACAATTACAGGCTTCCGTTTTACACTCGCTTGGCAGGACGGTAGTACAGTGGACCCCCGGTATTCGATGGCATCGGTATCCGATAAATCCGGTATTCGATGCATTTTAAAGCAAAAATTTCGCCTCTGTATCCGATCGAAAACCTGGTATTCAATGCGATTCGTACGAGACGTGTCCACATGTGGCCTGAACTGTCCCGTGTGTGCCAGCGTTTACAAGCCAGGCAGTGTGCACACATCTAAGGATACATTCGGTACATTCCATATTATCACTGTTTTTGGTGCTTGTTTCTGCAAAGTAAGTCACCATGGGCCCCAAGAAAGCTTCTAGTGCCAACCCTGTGCTAAAAAGGGTGAGAATTAGTATGGAAATTAAGAAAGATTTTGAAAGGTTTGGGGCTAACCCTGAGAAGCCTATGCCAGTTGTGGAATCCATTGTGCCTACTTCAAAAATTAAGGAAATGTGTGCAAAGTGGGTTGAACTGCAAACCTTTATGGATGAAAATCACCCTAACACAGCTACTGCAATCTGTGCTGGTGACTATTACAATGACAATGTTATGGCCCATTTTAGACAAATCTTAAAGGAATGGCGACAGAAGTCCAGTGACTCTCAAGATGGTCCTAGTGGCATTAAAAGAAGGGAAGTAACCCCGGAAAAGGACTTGCTACCTCAAGTCCTAATGGAAGGGGATTCCCCTTCTAAACAGTAACAACTTCGACACACTCCCCTCCTCCCATCCCATCAATCATCACCAGATCTTCATTAAAGGTAAGTGTCAATTATTCTATTATTATTCTATTGTTATTGTTGTTATTGTAATTATTCTATTGCATTAAACTTAATATTTCATGTGGTAAAAATTTTTTTTTATACTTTTGGGTGTCTTGCATGGATTAATTTGATTTCCATTATTTCTTATGGGGAAAATTGATTCACTTTTCGATATTTTCGGTATTCGATGAGCTCTCAGGAACGGATTAATATCGAATACCGGGGGTCCACTGTACCTCCCTGGGTGGGTGCTGTCTACCAACCTACTACCTAGCTTAAAAAATTTCCATCCTCTCAATAATAACATCATTCAAAATTTCTGGAAATAATGTAGATGAAATACTTATTATTATATACAGTAGGACCCCGCTTTACAATGTTTCACCTTATGGCGTTCCACTAATATGAACATTGCAAATTATGACCGAAACTCTCTACCAAACCTTCTAACACAGTCACCGTGCTCCACCCAGTTTGTTTACAATCTCCATGAACACGACTCTCCATTATGTCTGGAAAGTTTCCAACATTTCAAGTGTTTTAAAGTTATTTCATATTTTATATATACTCCGATAATTATACTTATGAGCACCTGTATCTAAATAAACTTACACACTGTGTTGGCATGCAGGTACACATTAAAATCACTAAGTGTCTTATTAATCTTGAAGATGCCATATTAATAATGATAATAATAATAATAATAATAATCATAATAATAATAATAATAATAATAATAATCACTTTGATGCACATTAAATGTCGTATATTACATTAAATAGACATTTTGATTAATCCATCTAAGATATATTTTTCAAATTATATAATAAACACTACATAACATATAAACATGATAAATACATCCATCGAAGAATAAATTAACATAAATACAGCCTCTCCTCACTTAGCGATGTACTCATTTACTGATGACTCGGACTTACAACGGGCTCTCTGACCAGTATACATACCTAAATAATGTACATTAGAGCTGATTTTCTCTATTCTGCTTATTACAATATATAGTAAATTACTGTATAAACATTTAAAAATATACCAGAAATGTTATAAATGGTGCAAAGGTGATATTAAAACACTATCAAAGATAGTTGACACAAACCCACTACAATTACAGTACACACCTCACTAAGCGACGAATTCATTTACCGACAAGGTCTTAGGAACTGAACTCCGTTGTTATGTGAGGAGAGGCAGTTGCAGTGTTGATGTAGGAAAGAATAATGTTTTCTATAGTCCAACACCAAAGAAAATGTGTACACAATAGTATTACTGGGAGTAACTGTAGAAAATTATTCCTTTTGTATGCCTTCACCATGAGCGTTATTCCTTCTAAAAATGGTGTGCTACATGAGAATGAGAGTGTTGCTCTTTATTTATTCTACTTTACCAATGTGGAGACAACTTCTACACAATGTAAGGTGTTTGTATTATGGTATAAGATTCACAGACATGGGAACAAATATGTTATTTATTTTATATTTATTATCACACTGGCTGATTCCCACCAAGGCAGGGTGGCCCGAAAAAGAAAAACTTTCACCATCATTCACTCCATCACTGTCTTGCCAGAA